ATTCCATCAGAATTTTTAGTTGGATTTAATTCAAATTTATCTACGTTAACTCCAGGTGGTCTTTTGAATCTACATAAATTATATTCATCAACATTTCCACAAGTACCAACTGAGCAAGGTTTTGATCTTTTACTTCTAGTAATTATAGTAGTTGAGGTAGATGATTTCCTTTTAAATGCCATTTAGATTACTTGATAATTTCCAAAGTTACGTGTGCAATTAGCACAAGAAATTTTAGGTTGCCTTGTTTGCTTTGTAATAACTGTAAGTTTATTTATTTTTCTTTTTGATTTTTGTTTTGTTGTAGATTTTGTAACTTTTGTTACAGCTTTCTTTGGTTTTTTTCTTTCTTTTCTTCTTCCTTTAGCCAGCTTGAACGAATTTTGTGTCTATGAATTGGATCACTTCTTTATAGAATAATACAAAATTTGTATTAAAGTTACGAATTATAGATGGAAATAATTTTATTAAAATGATAATTTCGGTTTCGTAAAAAAAATAGATAATTGATAGTTGAATAATAATAGTAAGAAGTAAGACTATGCAATATAGAAAGATATAAAAATTTTGGCAAGTATCCATTTAAAAAATCTTTTTTGAAAAAAGACTGTATTTATATATTTTTAGAATAAAAATAAAATTTAACAATTAGTACATGAAATTATTGTTGCAACATCTTTTCTTTTACGAGTTTTTTTCTTTATAATTGTAGTTGTTTTTGAAGAAGAATTTCTTGTACGTGTTGGTGCTAGTCCTTTTTTTTTTATGAACAGGTCTGTAAATACCATTTTCAAGAAGAAAGATTCCACCGTTATATTTTTTAGTTATTTCACCATTTTTATTTAAAATTCTTTCATATTTGTTTTTTTTAAAATTCCAGGTATATAATTTTGGTAGATTGTTTCTATTGTTTCTTATATTAGATTCAATTAACATACCAATAACTTCATGTTCAACAGCTATCACAAGCAAAATTTTTAACAAAATTAATAATAAAATAAATTTTTTCATTTTTTTATTTTAATAAAAAAAATAACAACCCTATTTATATTTATTTTTTAGGATTTTGTACGTTTTCTTTCATCATCATCATCATAATCTTCACGATCACGTTTTTTACCAATGATCTGATCTAAAAGCTTTTCTGGTTTTTCTCCAGGTATTGTAGGCATTTGATCGATCCAATCTTTCACTATTATAGCTAAATATTTTGATGTAGCAGACTGAAAAGGAATATTGTATTCATCTTTAAGATTTATATCGATATAATTATTCCATCTTTCAAGCATCTGTTGAACTTCTTCAAGATTTTTTATATCTATTATTTCTTTATACATTTTATGAAAAATTTGTTTAACATGATTTAATTTCGATATAATATTATTATTACTTTCATATATATTATTTAAATAATCAGATTTATAGATTATATCTTCCATTGGTTTATATTTTTGTTCTTTAATATCTTCTAAACTAACAAGATTATTAAGATTATTTTTAAAATATAAACTTTTTCTTAATAATTGAGTCATAGGATTATATGACGTAGGTAGTTGTTTCCAAATCTGAATACTTTTTTCGATCTCTCTATCCCAGTAACTATTATCTCTTAATCGATCATTATTAGATTCAGTATTAATTTCATTGATTAATTTTAACCAGATATTATATGCGTCATTATTAAGTTGTTGATTATATTTGATTATCTCAGATATTTCATCGATTGTTTTAATTTCTGGATATTCTATATCTTCCATATCTACAGGTTTATTCTCTGGTCGAAGAGGTTCTGTTTTTTTTTCATTATTCATTATTGCTCCGAACCACATTATTCCAAATAATTCAGCATTCGAAAATCTATCAAATTTTTCTTCTTCTATCTCATATTGACAACAATCGAAATATTCTTCTTGATTATATTTACATTTACATTCATATTGATTCAATGTGTAAACTGAGGAAATAAGAATAAAAATAAAAAAATATTTTTTCATTTTTTTTTATTATTTATAAACTAAAATAAATATCATATTTATATTTATTCTTTAATAATATATCCTAATAAATTTTGTTTTCTATTATCATCTTCAGCATTTTTATTTACCCATGCAGTGATTAATATATTTAAATATTTAGTTGTTCCTGTTCTATAAGGAGCAAATTCAGTATCTGCCAAATTCTGATCTATATATTTAATCCAATTATGATACATTTTTTTAACATTTTCAATATCTTTTTCATTAGTAAAAGCAAGATACATACTACGAAAAGTATCTCTAACTTGATTCAGATTGAGAACTATATTATCATATTGATTAACAGGTTGAAGTTTATCAGAATTATATACAACATCTTCCATTGGTTCATATTCAATTTCATTAACATCACGTAACATGTTTAAATTCCTTCTCAAATAAAGACTTTGCCTAAGTAATTGTGCCATAGCTTGATAATTTTGAGGTAAATGATTAAACCAATTAATACTATTTATCTCATATTCCCATATACCTCCATTAGCAAGTTTATTATTATCCATTTCATTATAAATTTCACTAATTAAAGTTATCCAATTGTTATATGCTGTTGAATCACCTACTTGACCACCTTTGTAGAGATCGATCGTTTCTTCTATAGTATCAAATTTAGGAAATTCAACTCCTTCCATTGGCTCATTTGGTTGTTTAGGTTGATCAGATTGAGGAGGAGGTACAAGTGGGGTAGCATCGTTAATTAATGGTTTCATCAATCCAATTATTAACATTTCATATATATCATTATCAGAATATTTTTTTATCATTAATTCTTCTTCATCAAAAACACAACAATCATAGTATGGATTTTGATTATATCGGCATCTGCATTGTTTTTTTTGAACAAACCAGAGTTACAAAAAGCAAAATTAACAAAAGTATTTTTTTCATTTTTTATTTATTTATAAAGCGAACATACTTTATTTATAGAAACATTAATTAAGGATATTAAAAAAAAAACAATTTTTATTTAAAAAATAAAAGATTTATAAATTTAATTTAGAACAAAAAGAATTACATTGATGTCGATTAATAACATTATTAATTCCTTGAGTTCCTAAATTAGTTCTACCAAATAAATTATAAACAGAATTAATTGCAGAATCTGTTAATTCGTAAGTATCTAAATCTCCTTGTAAATCACTAACAACTAATTGTTGACTAGAATAATTATAGGTGAAATGTGTGAAAGCTTCTAATGTTTTACATCGATCATCAGAAAAACGAACTCCATTATTGTCATTAAATTTTTCAAAATAATCTAACTTAGATTCTAAAAAATATAAATCATCATAATAATTAACTATATGAACATTTTTAAAACTAATTTTTCGTGAAGTTGTTTCAGTATTATTAAATTGATTTCCTAAAAACTGAGAAACTAATGTTGTCAAAACTGCAGATTCATATCTATCTATACCACTTTCTTCTTTAAACCGTTTAATTACAATATCTGCACCTGTAAAACAATTACTACCATAATATGCAATTTTTTCTCTTCCACACGAAGGTGCTTCATAATTGATTTTGATAATATTATTAGTTCTACTAATATTTGATTCATTTTCAAAATAGTTAAAAATTTCATTAAGATTCATAAGTGGTCTAAAGCTAATAATTTCTACATCAAATTCATTTTGACCAGATAATAATGATTTTTCAATATTAGATATAGTATAATTAACTTGTTTTTTTGAACGTAAAACTGAAGGTCCTCTTAATTGTGATGAACCAACTAGTCCAAGTCCATTAATAGCAGTTTTATGATAACCATAAGACATTTTTAATAAAATTGATATTTTTAACAAATCGTATTTATTTTTTTATTAATCTAGAACAAATTTATATAAACAAAGAATTTTAAATATTCTTACATGATACAGAGAATAAAACCAAATATAGTATTTAAAATAAAATAAAATAAAAAATAATTGTTTAACGTTCTTCAACTCTACATAAGAATTTTTTTTCTTTTTTATTTACAAAATTTTTTAAATTTAACTCAGGTCTGTAACCAATATTAATGAATAATTTATCTATATTTGTATAATTATGAATCATCCTCCGATAAAAATTGTCAATTACTTTTTCTACGAATTCTTTACTTTCTTTTTTGTTCAAGATCTTATCTGTATGAAGGTCTTCTTCTAGTAATTTTGAATGACCAAATTCTTTATCTTTGTCTTCTGTTAAATTGAGCCAAATAGAGACAATTTGTATATTTTTATTATTAAACCGGAATTCTTTCTCAACATGCGTATCAAAAACTTTTAATTTTTAGTAAATCACTTTCATTTTATTTTTTATTAAAAAAATAAACTGATATTTTTATTTAATATATCTTTTTTTAAGACAATATATATTCAATTACAATTGTTTATATAATCAAATTACATAAAAAATTAATCTTCATCAGGAAATTCTGTAAATATATCTATATAAAACTGTTCAGGAAGATTATCTGATATATCTAAACTTTTCTTCTTTTTCTTTATTTGAGGCTTCTTTTTTTCTTTAACTTCGTAGCTCACATTCTGAGCATATGTATATATAACTTCTTTATCTTTAATTTTCATCGTAACTCCTTGTTGTATATTTACTTTTGTAATTTTTTGATGATTATTTGACATCTAAATATATAAAAATTAAAATTAAAATATTTTTAAATTATATAATTAAATTAAAGTTAATTTACGTTTAAACTTTTCTTTATCTTGTTTATATTTTTTTATATCTTTATATATTTTAATACCTAATGTAATAATATTGGCTATAACTAAAATTCCAATAATTACAGGAGGTATCATTTTTTGAAAATAAAAGAACTATTTTATATATTTTATAATTATACAAAATAATAAAGTTTATTTTTTAAAACGATTGTTCTTTTTTTTTTACAAATTAATTCTTTATCAAAGTAGATTAATTAAACTAAAATTATTTAATAATATACTTTTTTAATTTTATGCATATTTAGCCTCAAAATTAAAATAGAAAATTAAAGAAATAATTAATATTGTTCTATATTTGATCTAATAAAATGTTGTGTAAAATTAACTATTATAATTACCTGATTAATTTACTTCAATGAAATATACATGTTTGTAGATTTTAAAAACAATCTATAAATAAACATTTTTTT